GTAATGCCACACGAGAAAGAAGAAAGAACTTTTTAAGGAATCAAGCTGTCAATGCAATCATAGCAATGCTGGTCTGTACTTGATCATCATATACAGTAATGCTCATACATATCCATGTTAGTCTTGGTTCGACAAACCTGAGACAAGCTGTCAATGCAATCATAGCTTGCTTGAGTAGAACTATGGAATCTTCGTTTTCACATTTGAAGATGAAATATATTGCCAACCAATTAGTTGATTATTTGCATGAACTTTCAAGGGAGCATGAAGACTTATTGGCAGCAATTTCGGAAAGTAATGCACGTTTGCAAGAAATCATATAGAGGCTACATTTATATAAAGCTGTTATTTCCGTCATCGTGGTCTACCTCTTGCGGGAGAGATTGTTATGTACTCTTATTCTACTGGATCGATTCATCACTCATTCAGGAATTTAACCAATAAATACAAGACAAATAAATAAATTAAACGAAGTGTAATACGTATACCGTTGTTAAATATATGCTATAGGTCTAGTTCGTAAGTGACTTTAGTATAATTCACCAAGAAAATAAATATAAAAAAGATTATTGTGAAACTGGAAAGAAATTTTTTTTATTTTTTTATTTTGGTATATATATAAAGAATTTATCTTTTTTGATTCATATAATAGGAGAGGAAAAAGAAAAAAAGAAGAAGAAGAAGGGTTTTTCGTTTATTTTGTTGATTTCTATAATAAAAAAGTAATGATTTTTTATGTCTATAATTGCAGTGATCAAATAACACTTCTATTACCGTAAATATTTTACTTCTTAAATTTGCTAAAAAATTTAAATGGTTGTATTATTTTTTCAATTATTGTAAATTATTTTAAAATTGATCTCGTGATTTTTTCTTTACGATGGAGAGAGTTTTTCATATAAATTTGATGTTTGTATAATTGCTCATGTGATAATTTATTTTCTAGTTCTTAATTATTATATATGTTTGCCTTGATTTTTTTTTTTAGAAAATCTAATTTACACATAATGGAATTATCTTTTCCCAACAACCTTATCTACAAATCTTTTGTTTTTTTATTATTAAAAAAGCATGTGATTTGTGTTTATTGCTCTAATTTACAAGTGATGAGAAGATCTATGCATAAAAATAAAATATATTCATTCTTTCACTTGATGAATAGTACAGTAAAAGATATTGTAATAATTATTATTTTGACCTTATAATAGTTCAAACTTTTTATTCGAGTAATTATTTAATTAACCCAGATATACATATTTCGGCATAATATTTCTTATCTTCTCACTAGAACTTCAAAATAAAATTTAGCAATAGAGCTTAACTAGTCAAAGAATTTTTGAAGTTCCAATAATTTCTATGAACATGATAGATAATATTTTGTGAATCTAAAACTACTGGTTTGAAAATATAACCCTTACCCTTTTCATTTGTCTGGCTAGTTTGTGATTGGTTTTTCGAATAATTAGGTCGGTGGTCCTTGATTTGTGTTTTTTTTTTTTTTTTTTGGGAAGGTCAGTGGTCATCCGCGCGTACAAGAGGTGAGTAGGAGCTTCTCTCTTTTGTTTCCTTGCTTCTCATCTCTTTCGGATCCTTCCGGTAAAAATTTCGGATCCTGCTGGTATTCTAATTTTAAAAATTCAGACGAATTTTTTATTATTTTATTGAATATAAATATAATTATTTAAGGAATTTTTTATACATGTAAATATTCAAATTCAGTATTACTTATTTAAATAATTAATTAAATATTTCATTTTGCTAAAAAAACTCTCTTCTCATCTTTGATGAACAAGACTTGATTAGAAGGTAATTGATATAACAATAAATGACTTCAGTAATTAAGTTGGCCGTACCGGCTTAAGTTTAGTTTTTTGTTTTTGTTTTTTTGTTTTGTTTTGTTTTGTTTTTTTCTTTTTTTTCTTTTTCAGGGGACGGTTTAATATTACACAATAGGGGTAGTTTTTGTCCACTTAAAACCGAGACATTACAATCAGTTGGACTAGGGGCTGCGCATAAGATAAGCATGAGGGGAGTATGGCCCCCCAATTTTTTTAAAACCCATTATAGTCCTTAACGTTTGTGCTTATTTTCATATTGCCCCTTAAAAATTATTACTAGGCCCTACAAAAAAATTTTAAAATATTCCTCAACCTTACAATAACTAACTTGCCCACCTTCCAACATCTTAGTCTACCTCTGCCACTGGTTGGATTCGAACCTTACTTAATTAAAAGAAGTTATTTGACATACAGTCGTTACATTAAATTTTTGTGTTATTAACTCAAATCATCAATAACGTGATTTTTTTTTTTAACAAATGGAACAAGTTCTTTAAGCACTCGAGGAGGCAAAAAGCGAGCCACCCAAGAAAAAGAGAACAAATTGAGCAATGTTCAAATATATACAAACATGGGGGGGCAACTGGGTTAATACCCAGCATACGCAAGACTTAACCAATTGAGTCGGGACAATGATAAAACTTGACCAAGAACCAATTGATAATATAACGTGAGAATGGAAGGATAGGCATTGACATGTTTTAGTTAAAAAATTAAGGTTTGAACTCGAAATATTTTGAAAAAGAGAACATTAACACCAGTTGATTTACAATTTATTGAAAGATAGGCATTGATGTATTACCTAATTTTGTTTTATAAGTAGAGTAATTTTTTTTTCCAAAGTCAATTCCTTTAGCTATTAATTAATTATATCGAAGCAATTTAGCTAAAAGTGATTTCTTCACACTAGGTGGATTAAGGTCATTATCTTCAAAATCCACGGAAAATGATGTGCCGACCAAGCAATTCCAAGTCATCCCAAGATCATGCTTATAACGATGAGGAAAATAATTGAAATTAAAAGTACGAACAACAAACAGTTTGGTTGAGAGCTATCAGCAAAGAAAGGATCGATCACCAAGAGCTGTACTAAGTACAAGTTGATAGAAAGAGAGCTTGATATCAAGTTAGATCTTATATTCTCCATTCTGCATATCATATCAATATTATGAAAATCCTATATATGCTTCTGAACTTAGCCTAGCTATAAAAAGTCCGAAAATTAGAATTGTTTTCAGTAATTAAGTTCAAGAAACTACCTTGAAACTAACAATATCTTATGAACAAGTTAAAATTTGGTTGCTTTGATACTTTAATTTAGTACAAGCTTCTCTTAAAGCTGCAAAAAAATTTCCCTAATGTACTAATATATGGAATCTCATGCATTCTTTACAGAACATTAAGCTCCTCTACCTATAAAAGAATATACAAAGCCAAGGAGCTCATCAACCCTAAGATATTATCATCTATCAAGAATTCAGACGTTCTTTGAGACTGAACCAGGTTTACGACATTGCTTGCAGCATTTTTCAAGGGCTCCATGTTAATCTTCTGGGCCCTACTTAGTATCGATTCACTTGCTCTACTGAAAAAATTTTCTTCATCTTCTTGAACCTCTGATCCTCTCTTCGGACATTTGAGTAAGCTGATATAGGATCCCAAGTCATGAACACATGAAGGGTTTTGCATGTTGAAGAAGTCGAGGACTATCTCAACACCTACATGTGCATAACATGAACAACTCCAAGGTAACTCATATCTCCCTCCTAAAACCCTAAAATTTTCGTTGAGAAAAACCCCTGGTAACTTTGTGATGGGGTCATTAACATTAACAATTCTTAAAACTTTTACTCCTAATTCCTCACATCTCTCCTTGAAACCAGAGTTTCCTACTCTTGGCCCTCCAAATGAAAAAACCGTAACCGGTATGTCCAGGTTCTGGCCGAGCCAATTCAATCCAAGCTCGGCAATATCATAAGCAAGTAGAAGAGCCAGTGAACTACCCATACTATGTCCTGCCAAGGAAATGCTAAGTTTCTCACCTTTGTACCTGTTTAATAGCCTTGATACTTCGGATAGAAGCTGTTCGCGGCAACTTCCTAGTCCAAACTTGTCATCACTTTCGTTAGAAGTGTACAAGCTCAAAAAACCAGACTCTACTTGCACATCTGGGCGTGGATTATTGGGATCTAGCCTAGCTGGGGTCAGCGAGCTCATTAAATTTGCAATCCACTCTGGGTTTGTTACTGTTCCTCGAAATGTAATGACTATGTCCCTCCTTCCAAGTCTCCTAGCTGCATCATCTGAAGATACAGCCACATATCCAATCCACCGCCTGCAAGAAGGTTCGTTTTGGATTGGAACGTTGACATCCGCAGTGGCGTAGATGTACTTGGTGACTTCGTAACCGGAATTTCCCATTCCAACTTCTCTAAACAAGTTCTTCTTTCCGTACTTGCAAGTCAAGTATCTTTTGGAGTTGGGGTTAAGATCAAAGGCCTGATAACAAGCAGTGACAAACTCCCCATATCGAACGATCTCTTGCCGGAGAAAAGGGTGCAAGGGTTCAACAAGACCCTCCCAATTGTTGCAACCTTGAACCTCTCTCCACATATGAGCCAAACTAGAAGAAGTACTTGTAGAGCTAGTTTTGTCTAATTTCGTTGGCATGGTTGGTGTTACAAAAGAAGCAACAAGTGACTGTGATGTAGAAGTAGTGGTTTCAGCACTCTTCTTGGGCAAACAAACCTGCCCAAAAGAATGAGATCGGGGTACCATGCTCCCTGAATATGCAACATGGTTTACACTTGGATTTGGCATCAAAAGTTTTGAAGCCATTATGGGGAGAGAGTGAGAGAGAAAGGGAGAGAGGAAGGGAAGGAAGGATAGAAGCCTTAGCTGGGGAGATTATTCTGGTCATGAAGAGAGCAAGAGAGGTGGGGATTATATAAAGAGAGAGGAAACAGGTAGACAGTCACAGAGGGAAGGAAGTGGAAAAAAGAAATGAAATGACTAAAAAGCATGTTTGGCGAGTATTTGACTGAGAATCATGTTTTCAAAATTCTAAGCTTTTTGGTTTTAATTTATGTGGTCGGTTGTTTTAATTTCACACAGTGATAGTTGTTTTTATGCCATGTTGGGATCGATGGTGTGAAGAGAAGGCTAGAGCGGGAAAATTAAAACCTTCGCATCCCTAATTGGTTGAGAGGTGGACTTCCAAACCTCAGCAAGAAACTTTTGAGAGAGAGAAAATTCGTACTTTTGTACAAATGGAATTTCTCCTCTTTCCAAATAAAAATCTTAATTTGATACGTTTATAGCATATTAATTACCTCTCTCTATACAATGATGAGTAGAAATGAAATTTAACTCCAATTCGATCTGATTTTGATATAATTAGATGGATTTATATATAATTATGATACACATCAATTAACTTATATATTAAATAGATCAAGTACGAATTTATTTTAATTTGATCCAAAATTAATATCAATATTATCAACAATAAATATAGTATTTTAAAACATAAAAAATAAGAAAAAATTATGACACTAGGTTAAGATTAAATGTTTCATACTTTTTTCTCTCTCTCTACATTGACAACTATTCTTTCAAACAACTATATGATAATTTTTTTTTTCAAGTCTCAAATTAATTTTATAAAAAATCCTATAATATGTATGAAAAAGAATAAATTAATGAGTTGTTGCTGGTATTATACTTGTGTTTCTAAGTTATAAAATATTTACTCAATGTGAATTTTTGTTCATTTCATTCTTGTTATTTATAAAATACTAGGATTTTCTTTCATACCAATCAATTTGTACTTGGAGGTATTTTTATTTTTATTTTTTATTTTTTTCATTCTCCTTGCCTACTTTAAATTAATTTTGACTTTAATGTAAATTTTTATTAGAATTATTTAATTTTTATTCTTTTCAATGGTTGAGACATTTGGATTTTCTTTTTTTTAAGTTGACATATTAAATATTATTATTTTTCTTATACATGCAATAGAGGGTTTTTTTTTTTTTTTCTTTTTGATAATCGAAAACTGACAATCCTTCAACCATTTTTGATAGATACTAATTGGTCTTAAAACTAGAAGTTCCAAGCCTTTCAAACTCTTGGAACCGGAGAAGCATACATAAATTATATAGTGGTTACAAAAAGGCATAGGAAGTGAGATTTGAGCCTTGGATCTCTTGTTAGAAGTTTATACATGAAATAGTTGAAACTTGTTTTACATTGAAACATAATTTTTAATGCAACCAACACCTGTTCTTTGAAAAAAGTTGAATGTTATCCTTTTATAGACATCCGAAGTCGAACTCGAATGCTTGATAATTGCAAAATTTAGATTCAAATTTATAAGATCCAATCTGATTTGTTTATTAAATAAATTAAATTTGAGTCTATTATGATCCAATTTGAATCCGATCATTTCGCACCCTAATTGCAAATAAGCTCATGTCATTGTACGGATCAAGATCTATATACATTAATTTCATAAGATTTCATGTTTTGCAAAATGGTATTTAGGGATATCGATGGAGTGGATTATACTTCTTTGTTCCATATTTATTGCAAATAAGCTCATTTTATCCTTTAATTTTTTTTTTTTGGAAATTATAATATATATAATAGTTGATACTTGATATTTGATACACAATAAAAAATAAATTATGAATTTTTCCTTAAATTTGATTTATATTTAAAACTAAATAATCAAAACTTAAACTCAACAATAAATTTGTTTTAAAATATTAATCCAAAAACAATATATGTATATAAACACGGACAACAGTGATAGATTCACTAATGAAATTACAAAAAAAAAAAGAAAAGAAAAATAAACATATGATTTGCAACCAAACAAAAGCAATCACAAATTTGTCCATTAACATATGATTTTTCAATTAACAAAATTATTAAGTATTAATATATATAATCATCGTCATAATTTTCAAATAACTTGTCCATTGGCAATAAGTACTACAGTACATTGATTAACAACATCATCATTTTTAATTTAAATAACTAATTTTTTCAAATTTTTAGTTAATCTCTTTCAAGAAGAAATTTAAGTAATAAATGATACAGAATGTACGTGATGGATTTCAAATGCAGAGTTAGTGTATTAATTGGAGAATTAATGATGGACGTAGAGGATGCGTTAGAGTGAAGAGAGACAGAGGAAAAGAGGGGGGAAAAAATAGAGAGAGAAAGAGGTTGCGGAAGAATAAGAGAAATAGATATGGAGAAAATATATATGTTAGATCGAAATTGAGCCAGAAAGAAGAGAATGCGTTTGAGGGATAGGGTTAGAGAAAATAAGAAGCTGTTGGAGTGAGAGTTAAGGAAAGAGACAATGAGATGAAAGTTGAGTTATACATACATACATACATACATATATATATATATATATATATATATATATATGCTGGACGAACAGGATATTTAGATATATAATAAATGAGAGAATATAAAATAAAATTTTGTTCATAATTTTTTTTAAAAAAAATAGAGGGAACTGAAATTTTAAAATTTTTTGCTATTTGTGACTGAAAATAAATGATCACAAATAAAAAATGGATGAAAAAATCTTAATATTAGTGTTTGATTTGCATGCAACAACATTCGTCGGTCACAAATCAGTGAGAGAAAAAATAATTTTGTTTTGGCGACTGCACCATTTGCAACCGTATACATTTGTTCTATAAACGGATGACAAACAAACAAGAAATTAAACAATAAAATAAAATTATATCTGATTTTCGATGAGCTATTAGCGATTGAAAAAAAGAAGAAGAAGAAGAAGAAAAAGAAGAAAATTTGTGACATCGTTATAGCCGTCCGACCACAAATTTCACGTTTTTTAGTAGTTAAAATGAAGTTCAACTTCAATTTTTATTATTCTGTAGTTGTATATTTATTTTATGTGAGAACTTAATGTGATATATATATTTGTGTGTGTTTTTATTGGATGTGAGATTATTTTAACAATAAATTTTATGGTGGGTGATCCAACAAAAATTTAGAACATGGTTATATCCGATTGCAAATTTCAAGTTTTTTGGTAGTTTAAAATGGAGTTCAACTTAAACATTTTTTATTATTTTGTAATAATGTATTTATTTTATGTGGAAATTAAATGTATTATATTTTTTTCTTCATATTTGGTGAATGTCAAATTATCTTAGCAACAAAACAAATCTTTTGATAGATGATCCATCTTAATTTTTTATATTATTTTGTATTGTTGTATTATTTAATGTATGAGAAAATTTTAATTAATAAAAAAAAATAGAATTTAAACTATATAACGTGGGTATCATATCAAAGAAATCATTTCAATATATATAAACTAAACAATTGGTTTTACGTTTAACATGATTTACTTTTATAAGGCTTTGCAATTTTGATATCTTCATTCCTCACTCCTCACTTCCGTAGACGCCTTAAAATTTTTTATATTATTTTGTATTGTTGTATTATTTAATGTATGAGAAAATTTTAATTAATAAAAAAATAGAATTTAAACTATATAATTTGGAAATCATATCAAAGAAATCATTTCAATATATATATATATAACCTAAACAACTCGGTTTTACATTTAACATGATTTACTTTTACAAGACTTTGCGGCTTTGATATCTTCATTCCTCACTTCGTAAACGCCTTAAAATTTTTTATATTATTTTGTATTGTTGTATTATTTAATGTATGAGAAAATTTTAATTAATAAAAAAATAGAATTTAAACTATATAATTTGGATATCATATCAAAGAAATCATTTCAATATATATATATATATAACCTAAACAACTGGCTTTATATTTAAAATGATTTACTTTTACAAGGTTTTATGGTTTTGATATCTTCATTCCTCACTTACGTGGACGCCTTAAAATTTGGCATTGACACTTGCCCATTACCCTACCCAATAGGGACTTGCCATGTGTCAAGTCTCAAATGAATCATGATGTGATTTACAAGTCATTACCACTAGTTCAGTAATTTAATGGAAAGCCCAAATATTTGAATAATTGGAAGTTGAGTCCCACTTTATTTGTACGCGGCAAGCCTATCACACACACACATATATATATATATATATATTTTTTTTGGTTTTTCAGCCACGAGCTTCTCCTTGTCTGTTATGGAAGACGAAAGAATAACAGAAAAGCATAGATGGTGTTTCACTAAATTACTATATGGACAGGAATATACTCAATCTTTCCTATATTGTTTTGCTGACTTTCAACATTTGGAGCCTCTTCTTTCTTCTTGATTATTTGTGTACTTAATAAATAAAACGTATCTTTTCGTTTTAAATATTTTTATAGGTTTATAGGTAATTAATGATCCAGGTGGGTGGACAAACCCTTTACCACACATACATATAAGTAGATTTGTTCCACCAAATTGATGATTTAAAAAGAGTTTTTGCAAACCATTAATTTGATATATATTGAAATAGTTTTTGCAAAATTAATTGTGGTCCTTTCGAACAATATTTTAAGAATAAATTAATAGATTGCATTGCTTCAATCCAGTGAAATGGTTAGGAAAAAACAAAAAAGTCATTTTGTCAACTTCAAGAGTAGTACGTTGGATTTTTTTTAATTTTTTTTGGAAAACTGATAAACGCAATTTGCTTTCAAGTACTTTATAATGGCTAATGATTTTAAACTGTAGGCATTGCCCGTTAATATTTTTTGAACAATTATTTTATTTGAGCATGATTTTGTGAAGTTGAGATTCAACACGGAAAGCAAATCATGAACCTTTAGGCTTTACACGTTTGGTGGGTATGGGAATCGGAAGCGAGAGCAAAGGTTTTCTTTCTACCCTATACTACTTGGAACTCGAACCCTAGGCCAAACATATGTTGCTTTACTTTTAAAAAGAGTTAGAGAGGAAGGATTTCGTTGACAAATTTTGACTTGGATGTCATCCATTGTTTTATATTTTTCAAAATGGAACGTAACAATTTTTTATAAGTAATACAAAGTTCATCATTATCTCAAAAGCATATTGGATAGAGATGATGCAATTTATTATTTGAAAATATAAAAATTAGAAAAACCACTCACAAGAGTTTTAAAAATTGGAATTATTGATACGGATCATATGTACAAACGAATCTTGAGTTATCATATATTAATTAATTAAAAAGTTTTACGATTAAATTTTGTTGATAAGAGATCTTTCCTTTTGATGACTATCAAATGATATTAATCTCTTCAAACACTATAAAAAAAGCCAAAAAATAGCATGAATTTCACTACAAAAAAAAATCATCAAATAATAACGGATAAGCTTTCATCGTTAAATTATAAACAAATAGCAATAAAATAAGATCTATTGGAATCATTGACGGAATAGTGATGGATTAGTGATAGTTTGTTAGTGATGAAAACCAATCCGTCGCTATATTTGGTGGGAAAATATTTTTGAGGGTTTTAGAGATGATTTAACGACGAATTTGCTCGGGATTATATCGATAGAATTGTTTATCCATTGCTATTTTCAATGTTTCGCAAAATTAACGATGAAAAAGTCCATCGCTAAAGGTGAAAAATTGGATAGGCTTTTTGAAAGTCAAAACCGTCAAATAAGTGACGGATTAGTGACGGACACTTACGTCCGTCTCTATATGTAAAAAATGGATGGTTAACTTTCATTAGTGAGTCGCCTATATTTGACACATTAGCGACAGATTAAAGAGAAGATCGCATTTGTCGCTAGTTTTCAATTCCTAATTAAATCCTTTTCTTCTTCTTTCTCCTCCATTTTCTTCTTCCTTTCCTTCTTCAACTAGTTGTCGATCTCCCCCTTCTAAATTATCACCAAACTCCACTCCTCCACTCTTAATCAATCCATGCCCACTCAAAGATCTTTTCTTTTAGAAAAACGCTATTTTTTCTTCCCTCTTCATGGTGTAATTCCACCCGAATTAGTTCAGTTTTCTCTTCTTTTTTTTTTAAATTAAAGTTAGTAATTTGTAGCAATTGTTAGGTTAATTTTAAGTTTAATTGCTTGATTTATAATTTTATATATTTTAATTGTTATTTTGTTTATTTATTTGTTAAATTATTAATTTTTGTTAATTGTTAGGTTAATTTGTTGATTAATTTATTAATTTGCTAAATTTTGTTAATTTTTATGTAAATTAATTAATTAATTATTATTTAAATTTAATCGAATTAATTTTTAATTAATTAAGTTAATATTATTTATGTTTAGTTAATTAATTAGATTAAAAAGTACGACATCAAACAAATTAGCTACTGTTTACTCAAAACATCGCTAATTCATGGATTTAGCGATGGTTTTTAATACCGTCATTAAAAAAGATTGCAAACAAATAATTTTTTTTTTATAGTGAAATGAGGTTATTTAAAAAAATATTTAAAATAAAGGTATTTAAAAAATTATAAATAAAAAATTAATATAATAATTAGTAACGTTTTAACATACGTGAAAAAGTCAAATATAATATTTTTTTTAATTTGAAAATGTGTTCTCTAATAGATTCTGCCCAGTACCCAGGAAGTAATATAAAGCCAAACTTGTGGCACGATGTTGGGGAATTGTGTGAAATTACTCTTTGGAAGTCTAAGAGTACGTAGTTATGTCTTTGTCAGGCAAAAAATAAGTTCTTCGTCAACCTAAAGAAATCAAAAGGTTAAAGTACTTGAGTCCATACATTCCGTTGCATACCAAGATTTCAAGAGATGAGTTGAACAAGAGAAGTCAGAGACCAAAGAAACAAAATTCGTATCCAATTTTCTGATAACCTATCCTTGAATGAAATTCTTGCATTGGAAATGGTCTCCTTCTCCGTTGCATCTAGCCTTTCTTATTTGCCACTTTTGGTTGAGAAAGCATAAAATTAAGGGCAAAGATCCCTCGGCATTTTCTTGGAAGTTACAAGAGCACGCTTGGCAGCTCGGGTGTGTCCATCCATAGTAATCTAAAATGCCAATTTCGGTTAGTTATGAGTCCCAGATTTTCCTGAACTTCAACATCATGACCCCCCCCTCTTTTTAATATCATTTAAATTTCAAAGTTCGGAAAACATTGAGGATGGCCGCCGTAATGGTCCCATAAGATCGCTCTTGGTGGTATAATTTGAACGGGAAAGTTCGAATATACAGTAAGACGCCTACGGAGATTTCAGCATTCTGGTCCTCTCTTTTCGTTGCTAATTTTTTTTTCAATCAACCTTTTTCCTCGGTGTCGAATTCAATGAAACACCATTCTCGTTCCATACTTGTTCATACATTATTATTTTTCTACAGTTTCATTTTTTTCTCTTGTCATATGGAGATCACTACAAGAAAATCAAAAAAATAAAGATGAAATTTTCCGTTGCATAATAATCAAAATCCGTTGCTATGAATACAACATTAGTTGCTATTTACGTACCAATGAAAAAAAAATTCGTCATAGATCAACGACGATCTACCCGTTGCTAATGTGTAGAATTTTCATAACTAAATTGGAACAAATAGTCATCTTCTAGGTTTGGTATTTGTCTTAAAATCATTGTTATTTCCCTTATTTACGTCGTTAAAATTGCCATCATTAAATCTTACTCGCTAAAATTTCTCATATTCGTCACTATATCTCGTCACTATTGGTAAATTTTTGTCGCTAATATGTTGCTAAACAAAGAATTTTTTTATATAAATTAATAACAATTTAATGTTAATGGTAATAGCAAACAACTAAAAATAGCACCTTATTAAAACTCAATATATTATTTAATTGCACAAAAGGATCAAGAGTCCGTTGCTGATTTTCGATTGATAATAGACCCTAATCTAATGAATTAGTATCGGACTTTCAATGAGGGATTTTACCATCACATATAGTACCAAATATAGGTCCCTCACTCGAAAATTCAATACTAATTCATCGGTGTTTCGTAGTCGAGGTCCACACCTCGATAACGGTCATAATTCGTTTATTGATCTATCATGGATTTTTGTCGACATTTCTTGGTTTTCTTGTAGTGGATGGAATTTATGAATTATCTTTATGAAGGATTTTTGTGAGAGGAAGAGGAACAACTCTTCACATATCTAATAATTTCTCTTGTTTTCATTTTTCACTTATATTTAATTATGTTATCCTCTCTAACAATCTCATCTTTTCCATTTGTTGCCGCACGACTAGTGAGTCGACTAGAAATCAAAACAGTTAGAAAACAAGGATCAATCGAAAACCATTTTTGATTTTTGATTTGCAAAAATCGGTTGAAGGAAACAGATGAATGTTCATTCACTCGTTTCTATCGTAAAAGTGCAAAATAGTCCTTTCACTTTCTTGACTTTTTTAATTGTATCCTCAATTTCCTTTTAATTATATCTTTAATTTCGTTTGGAATTTTGTTCAATTTGGCCCTCGTTACCTTCCAATTTTGAATTGATTTAATACAATTATGCCCCCTTGATTAGATTTATTCATCCTTTTTTTTCCATTTATGTATTTTTATTATTTTTTATGTTTTATTTTATTTTTTCTTTGATTTTCTATTTTCTATTTTTTTCTTTTTTAATAATGATTACTAAAATAAAATGTATGAAAATAAAATAGAATAGCTAAAAATAAATAAAGGTTGAAATGAAGTAATAAAGGACAAACTAAAATAACAACTAAAAAAAATAAGAATTAACTAAAATAAACAATTAAATTAAGAGAAAAAAGTGTAAACCAAAATTTGGGTTATGACGAGTTGTCCTCTTTTTACAATACTCACGGTGTGAATCCTAATTGAAGTGTGAAATTTAGAGTGGATTTGTGTAGTGAGTTTGTAAAGACTAAAATAAAAACGAAATTATTGATTAAAGGTTTTATCTAAAGTGGACAATTTGGTTTGTGAAATTAAAATGTAATGCGACAGACTTTGTTATCAAAAGTAGTACGCACTTAAAAAGTAAAATACAATGTTTTGGTTGTCAAGGATGACTTATCCTAAAATTTAAAATGCGAGTGGACTTGTTATCAAGGGTAGCCTACCCTAAAAATTAACATGCAATGCGATGACCTTATTGTAAATGGTAACCTATTTTAAAAATTAAACCTACAATACGATGGCCTTATTGTCAAGGATAGCTTATCCCGAAAATTAAACGAGTAATAGAATGGCCTTAGTGTCAAGAACAACCTACTCGAAAATTAAACATTGGTTGTTCAAATTTGTATTTGCGCGATGGTCTATCGTGGGGTAACCTTATCCGAGGTGAATTTATGGAATGTATTGCTTTAACATTTCTTTGGTATTTCCTTAT